CCTGCCTCTGCCTCCCGAGTGCTGGGATTAAAGATGTGAGCTACCACCTGGCTTTAAAAATAAATCTTAAAAAACATACAGATCTGATGAACCTGCACAATTTGGCATTTCACCTCTTAATTAAAAAATGTTTTCTCAAGGAGGAGATATAAGCCTGTAACCCCAGCAGTTGGGAGGCTGAGGCAGGGAGAGTATGAGTTCTAGGTCAGTATAGTCTATACAGTGATTATACCCCATCTCATACCAACAACAACAAAAAATCTTTCTTAGTCATTCAGTAGAGTTGCTACGTACCTGACACAACAAAGGCATATCTTGGGGATTTGGAAATGACACTCATTCCATATTTATGAGGTTCCAATTTTCAACTGCTTTGAGTTCAACTCAAACTGGTCCTCCCGTTTCCTTTACAATAAATCCTTCCAGGGAAAGATGCTAAACATTTACCTCCAAACCCCACAACTTGTACTGAACCTCACACAGGAAGAGCATCCTAGGAGCTGGGCAGTGGTGGTGCACACCTCTAAGCCCAGCACTCAGGAGGCAGAGACAGGTAAATCTCTGTAAGTCTGAGGCCACCCTGGTCTAGAAGTGAGTTCCAGGACAGCCAAAGCTGCACAGAGAAACCTTGTCTTAAAAAAAAAAAAAAAAAAAAGAAAAGAAAAGAAAGGAAAAGAAAGAAATGGGATGGGATGGGATGGGATGCGGCAAGTAACACAGTAGAGTGCTTGCCTACCATGCACAAAGGCCTGGACTCAGTCCTTGGTGTTGCATAAACCAGTGCAACAGCTCAGGTAACACTAGTACTAGGAAGGTAGAAAACAGGAAGGTCAGTGTGTCAGAACCATCCCTGGCTACATACAAAGTTTGAGGCTAGTCTGGACTACTCAAGACCTTGTCTCAAATAGGTAAAGTAAATTCATGAAATATATATTCATAAATAGATAGCAACAGATACAAAAATAAGAGTATCTAAATGTTTGAAAATTATACCACACTTCTGCCTAAAATCAGCAGCGTTTTCCCTTTCACTTACTGTAGTCCAGCCTTCTGTCAACTTTCTTTTTTCTAAAAGGTTCCATTTATTTGTTTATTTTATTTCTATTTGGTGGATTGATAGGGTCTCACTACACGCAGCCTGGGCTGTCCTGAAACTTTCTATATAGACCACGCTGGCCTCCAACTCACAGATCCGTCTTTCCTTTCCCTTCCAAGTGCTGGGGTTAGAGACCTAAAATTTTATTTTATTTTTAAAAATTATGTATGTATGTGGCTATGTGCATGTGAGTACAGGTGCCTTTGGAAGTCAGAGGCATCGGATCCCCTGGAGCTGAAGTTACAGGCACAAGTCATGTGTCACCCAGACATGGATGCTGAGAACCAAACTCCGGTCCTCTGTAAGAGCAATCTTTCCTGCTAGCCACGCCTCCATTCATTTTCTTTAGTTCTCTGATCTACCTACTCCCCAAACATACTAAATAACCCGACGTCTCTTCATAAACTGTTCTTTCTTTCCACGATGCTCTTTCCTTAATTTCATACGTCCTCAGCTCACGGTTATTTTCACTATCCAGCACCACCTACTTTTTTTTTTCGGTCTGATTTTCCCACACCCTTACAAGTAAATGTTCTGTTTATTCAGAATCTCAATAAATAACTTTTTGCATTAACTCCGCCATGCCCGCTTCGGAACTTTCATAGCCCAAGTCCCACCGGATGAGCACAAATGCCGTCATTTAGTGTCCAATCTTCTGCTTGTACAGATCTCTCATGTTCTCACTCAGGGGAATGGGCCCAAAACTAACACCTTCAGCACTAGACCTACTTAGACCCCAGGCCGCAGAGAACGCGGGTTCCGCTGGCCTGCGGGCTGAGAACAAGGGTAGGCAAGACCCAGAAGCCCAAGGCTGTGGGTGCCGCGGCCTCAGGGTGGGACCCAGTAGTCTCTAGCCAACCCTCAAAACCAGTGACGCTTCCCCTCCTTCCCGCCCCCACTTCGCCCCGCTTACCTGACAATCACACCTTGCTCAGAAGAGACCCAACCAGTTGGCCCCGCCCCGAACCACTTCCGGTTCCTGATTAGCTTCCGCGTGGCATTCTGGGAATTATAGTTTCAACCTGGCAACTCAATAGAGGATGCCAGCAGGCTAGAGGGGCTTCACTACTCTGCGTGACCCGTTAAGTTAGTTGAGGGTGGCAATTCCAGCTCCTCGCAGACCTTACCCAGCTCAAACAGGTGACTAGTCACTTTCTAGCTAGCTGGACACCGCAAAACTGGGGTAAACCAAGCTTCAAAACACCTGCTTTGTCTTCAGTCAGTGTGGGGCCCTTGTGATTTCCTGGGTTTCCCCTCAACCGAAAGGGCGCATTAGCTAACACAGCCCTTTCCTGAGCACACAGTACTCCCTCTGCTGCGAGGCTGTCCAAGTTCAAAACCCAGACAAGATTTAGCAGGCAAGAGTCTAGCGGCTGTCTATATTCTTCGTGTATCTCCCTTTACGTATCAACCCAGAAACAGGCTCAGACACACGAAATTATCTTTCCTAGCCTTGTCTTTTTTAAGATTTATTTTTGTATCTGTGTATGGGTGATTTGCCTGCAAATGTATGCTCACCTCTTGCTTGCCTGGTATTTTGGGAAGCCAGAAGAGGATGTTGGATCCCCTGGGAACTACAGAGACTTGGGAGCAGCCATATGGGTGCTGGGAAGCGAGCCAATGCTCTTAACTGCTGAGCCATCTCTCCAGCCCCTGACCCCCGGCCTTGTGTTGATATAGACTATCTGCTACTTTCTGATTAACTCATGCAGTCCTAAGAGTTGCATTTTTATGAGACTGACGGGCTACCTACTGCGCTAAGGAGGCACCTAAGGAGTTGCATTTTTAGAGAGACCCTACAACAAATGTATCTGAATTTTCTCTCTCTCTTGAACCCAAAATCTGGTTACATTCCTTCTTGGTGTACTACTTTCTCTTCTGGTCTTTTCTTTGCACAACTCCTCCCAATCTATATGTCAATCTGATTTAAAAACACAAACAAAAACACAAACAAAAAAAAAATCAGGGTCTTATGTAACCCAAATTGACCTCAAATTCACCATCCTCCTGCCTCAGTCTTACAAGTGCTGGAGTATAGTTGTGTTCCACCATGCCCAGTGCTTTGATTATTTTTTAAGGTTTGTTTATTATGTATACAGTGTTCTATCTGCTTGTATCCCTGCAGGCCAGAAGAGGGCACCAGATCTTATTATAGATGGTTGTGAACCACCATGTGGTTGCTGGGAATTAAACTCAGTACCTCTGGAAGAGCAGCCAGTTCTCTTAACCTCTGAGCCATC